CCCAACATTGATATGTACGTCTTCAAAATTGTCTATGGTCTTTCAGTGGTTTAGGAGACAAGAAGTCTGCATCATTTTGATGTGGCAATACAGCCACATGCACAGAAGCATGGTACCTTTTTAGACATTTTGAGCACAGGTTGTAAACAGTCACAAGCTAGATGTTATAGGGAAGAAGATTCACTGTATGATCTCTGGAGGGGAAAAAAACATCAGTGGATCACTAGCATGCAATGCAATGCATAGAGAAATGATGTGAAACATTTCTTTGAAATGGAAGACCAAAATATTTCTTGTTTAGTCTATTATTACTTATAAATGTGACCTTGAAATTTGTATGTGAGCAGAAAAGTACCTTTGTATATCATTTTTGGTGAGGTTATCAGTTGTGAATCCACAACCAAACTGAAATAAAAGCAGAGGAAAAGTTTTTTGTTTACAAACAGATAGTGATATGGTCACATGCTGGATGTGATCTATCAAAGAAAATGACCATGTGCATATGCTGCTAGTGTATGTTTTATTCACACATGTTGTTATGGCACAACCATGTCATAATATTAATTCTTCTCTATTAACAGAAGCATTCATTAACTTATGTTCTTACCAGTGTTTAAGGTCCTCACCTAGAAGATATTCCTCCCATGGGTAAGATGAACAGTGTGATTCATTGATACAACTATTGACTCCAGGTTAACCCAGGCATATTTTAAACATATTTTAAACAAGAACTTCCATGGGAGAGCAAATTACCTATCCCTGCAACTGATAACCAGGCCTCCAGCAATGGCCTATATACTTAATTCAGCAGCAGCAGATGCCTCGTAACAAATTATGTCAGTTTAGCATTTCTATAAAACCAAGTATAATATCTAACATTTTGAAAAACTGCTTGCAGAAAATGGTTGCTCTAGCAGCATCTGCCTCGCTCACACATGCACAAGCACACTACCTCTAACATGGCCATGAGAAGGACTTAAGAAACTTTTGCTTTAGTTTCTTGTGTTATCTGAATTCAGTAAACAGTTGAATATTGGTTCCTCCTCCACCACCCCTTATGAAATCCACTCTTCCTAATTGTTATACCTGAGCGTTGCCATGATACTGCACATTATTTTTTTCAGAATCAGAAATATTCATATTCTGTATTCAATACACTTCCTAAAAAAGGGTCATCTGTTATATGTCTGCTTTTAAGCAATTGCTGGTTGGGGTGAATCAGATTGAGATGAATACAACGCACTCGCTTGGACCTCTCCTGGCTGATACTCAGATTATTAATATCATTTTAAAAGCAGTTCTAGAACTGTATGAGGTATTATGTGTTGAATGAAATGGATTCTAATCTGCCTTTCTTTTGATTTGTATTTTCGGGTAAAGGTCTTTGGCTCATAATCTTTTTAAACTTCAGTATCAAGAGAAATTATTTGGTGCATATTGTTTCTATTTTTCAATAATATTGGTGTATTCAACATTTTCTCCACTGAGTCTTGCGTTAGTGGGTTCACAGAAACTTTTTTTTGCATGTCCAATCTCAACAATTTGATTTAAAAATTATCAAGATACTATATAGAATCTCAAAAAACTCTCAAAATAATCTGTTCTGGGTTTTAAAATATCGTCACAAGGAAATGTACTAGAAATGAACTATGGCACATCATTCCTGTTCTGACACTTAATTTATATCTTGGTATGGGCTGAATTGTCTGGAGTTGGACTGAAATGCCATCCATAAGTTCACCTACAAGAGTAAATATGTACAGACCCCTCACATCCTGGACATACATTGTTTCAACTTCTACCTTCAAAATGTCGCTTATAGGGCACTGCACACCAGAACAACTAGACACAAGGACAGTTTTTTCCTGAATGCCATCACTCTGCTTAACAACTACTTCCCACAACAGTGCCAAGCTATTTACTAACACTGTATTACTATTAGTCTTCTCATCCTTCCTAGTACCTATCTCTTCCTGCTTATGACTATAACCATGTTGCTTGTATCTTTACAATTTACAATTTATATTGTTTTGTTTCCTAATATGATTTAATTGCTTATTAGTAACCTATGACTATCACTAAGTGTTGTATCTTTTGGTCCTTGATGTATTTTATTTTTTCTTTATGTACACTGAGAGCATATGCACCAAAGACAAATTCCTTGTGTGTCCAATCACACTTGGCCAATAAAGAATTCTATTCTATTCTATTCTATTCTATTCTGTTCTGTTCTGTTCTATTCTATTCTATTCTATTCTTACTTGGCCAATAAAGAATTCCATTCTATTCTAAACGTAATTCTAAGAATATTTCATTTCTTGAATTATTTTTCTCTCTCTCTTTTCCTCTTTTGTTTCTCCATTCCACATTTGTATTAATTCTCTATTATGCCCCTTAAGGCTATCCCTGAAAAACAGGAAATGCTTCATTTTGCTATTCCGATCTTCAGAAGGAAGCAGGACCTTTTCTGTAGCAGCTTCCTTATTATGGAGCTTTCTCCCCAATGATTAGGTTGGCCTCCTCTTTTCATCCTATAAATGGCTGGGAAGGCATCGCTGTTCATTTGATCTTTAATAGTATACTTACTTTTGTACTGTATCAGTATGCCACACATTCCCAAAGGCTCTGTAATAGTTAATTGCACTTTATGACTTGATTATTAGGCCATAATTTTAGTGTGCAAAAACATTTGTTAACTGTATGTACATATGTATTATTTATATTGTTCTTCATGTGACCATTGTCCAGAATGTCTACTGTACAATAGAGTAATGCATAAAGATTCCAATAAATAGCATTCTTGCAAGATGACTTCCAAGTGGCTCTTTTCCATTTAACTGCAAGTTGCATCCAAAGGCAATAAGAAAACAGAAGATATAGTTGATATGTACTGTCTTCCTGTGTTTGCTTCCATTAGAAAAGGAATGAGGTGTATTACACAGAAAATAAACTCTCACAAATGTGTACTATTTGGAACTCAACTCCATTTGAGAGGCTATATATTTTGACCAAAAATGAAATGGACTAGCAGTGCTTAACATCTTTTACAAAGAAGAAAATCTCTCCTGGAAACCTTCTGAAAAGTTATTAATGTTTCCCAATGAACAAATGCCACTTTGCATGTTTTGATCCATATTCTAGGATGAGTGTTAAAAACATTATGTATATTAACTAAACATCTGGCACAAATTAAGCCCCTTAAGTACATCATTTTCCCTTTTAATTTGTCAATATTTTGAAGAAAAAATCCCTCAAAGTGTCTTTTATCCCCAGTTGCCTCATGAGACCAAAGGACCATTGAACTACATAGAAATATAACACATAGAAATATAATAAGGTTCCATTTTAAGGTTCCTCCCTTCCTATTCATTTATAATCAGTCCTTCCACGGAAATGTCTCAGACTAACATTTCGGTGAGAAAAGGCTTGTATTGTCCATTTTGCCAAAAGCTCCCAATTAATTCTGAAGGCAGTCAACAATTGTAAAACAAGCAAAATTATCATTGCAAAATATAGAAACAAGTAAACAAGCAAATTACAAGAAAATAATTGAAAAGGAAAACTCTGTTTAAAAGGAACCACTGTTTTTTGATAATTAGTATAATAAAAGAATCTATCAACCTGCCAAATAGAAAAAAAGAAAGATACATCTGCTTGGGGGTTTTATATTCATATTTTTCTTTTCAAATGTACAATTGTGTGTGTTTCTTTACACATATTAGTCAAAAAATGATATCTTATTGTTATTCCCAATTGATCTGCATTTTATTGAATTTGACATTATTACCTATAAATAAGCCCTACAGCAATTTTTTATAGTGTTTCTCCATGTATAAAAATAAATGCTTTTTCAGGGGTATGCTCCCATTTTCGAGGATTCCAGCATTGGAGACTTAGATGGGGTGGGGGAGCTGAAAAGGGTATGGTTTAAATGTGTAAGTTTTCCCTTCCTAGTGTAAGTTAAAAATCTCAATTGTCAAATAAGGTTTTGCATAGAAGGGAAAAAAGGTCAATTATTTTTACTAAAATTTCTCTACTTAACAGTGGAAGGGGGGAGGTATTTTTATTTCTTATGCCAAATGCCTTCTTGGTCCTCAATTAAGAAGCCAACCAGAGAAATATTCACCTGGAAAAGCTGAAAGGTAAATGCCCAGAATGGAGATAAAGTCGAAGGAAACTTCGAGTAGCCCAGATAAACAATAGCAGCCAAATGAGAGAACAGCAGAAAAGACGCAGCTTTTTAATAAAAGGTCAGCGGCCTAACATATTTGCACCGAAAAAACAAATGTCACTGTTGTTTGTTTTAATTGGGTTTTATTCATTTATAAAATATACATGTACCATGACTGGGTTCTTACTAAAAAGACCTCCAATGGCTTATAAGAATGAAGTTTCGACACACACAAAATCCCTATTCACCACCAAACCAAAAGCGAAATCAAACCAGCACTAAATAAAAAACGACGTAGGTAAAAATCCCCATTGAAGTAAAAATGTATACACTTTATTTTTATTTATTTTAAAAAAGGGGGGGGGGCATGTACAACGTAACAAAATATCTTCGGATCGCTACGATCACCCCCACCCCGTAGAGTTTTGTTTCCAGCAGAATCGCCGGTTTTGACTGTTTTAATCGCTTTCGGGAGGAAAGCAGAGGCTGCCCAAAGAGGACGCCCTGCATTTTGTTTCAGGGTGTTGTGTTGTTTCGGTGCAAATAGAGTTCTCTGGGGTGGAGATTCCGGTCAGCCTTCCCAGAAGTATAAAAGGCCCCCCTCTTGTCAGTCGCAGACTCCCCAAAGGGCGCGCGAACCCCAACTTCTCCTCCTCCTCCTCCCCGAGGTCGCAGCCCGAGCAAGAACCGCAGACGGAGGGACCGACGGGCGGAGATATGCAGATCAGCTGGGCGCTGATAGGTGATTCCCGAGCTTTCCTCCTCTTTGACTCGGCCCCTCGCGGCAACGTTTTATAAACAGGCGGCTCTCCCCGCAAGGCACAACAGAGTCAAGTGGGCAGCTTTGGCTCGGAGCGGAGAGGCGGCGGCGGCCAGAGTCTGACGAGGGCGGTGGGCTCTTTGCTGGGCCCCTTTTTCTCTCGGGGCCGTTCTTGGCCTCTGCCTGGGCATAAGGCCATTCCTTTCCAACTTCAGCTACAGTGATAGCTAAGTTTGGAAAGACCAAACCGAGGAAAGCCGCTGCGTCCTCCTGCAGCCCTTTGTAGCCCCCCACCCCACTCCGAATCGCCCCGTGTTTCTGCTTTCTGTATCTCGCTCTCTCATCTACTTCCACCTCTCTCTCTCTTTCTGTTGGTTCTGCGCCTGAAAGGGCTTGACAGCCTCCGCAACTGAGCAAAACAAAAAACAAAAAAAAAGAGGAGAGGTGACCCCGGATTGCCATGGCTCGGTCTGCAGCAGAACAGGAAAACAGCCGAGGCTGTTGCGGTGAGTGCGGGGCGTGTGTGGGATGATGGGGTTGAGCCGTTTAAGGGAACGGCAACAGTGGGAAAGCCGTGGAGGTTGCGCGCGTTTTGTGCTGGAAGGGTTAAACGCGTGTGGACCAAGTGGACGCGACGCGCAGGGAAGGGCGCTTTTCCCGGGGCGCGAGTGGGGCTAAGTGGGTGGAAGGATGGGCACGCGCCCAGCCTGCAAAAGAAAGGCACTGGGGAAGGGGAGGGAGCACAATTCGAGCACCAAGTGGACTGTCGGGAAGAGAAGAGGGCTTTTCCTGTTGTGCGACTCCAACAATTCGGGATTCTGAGGGAACCCCGCTTCTTTTAGAAACAGGGTTTAAATAATACTGGGCCCCTGGAACGGGGAGGTTAATTTGCTATCGGAATCCTTTTTGCTCTCGTTATAAAAGGGGATGCTTCAGAGTGGACTATTCAATAAGCCATGACATTCGTGTCCAGAATTACATCTGTGAGATTAATGTTGTCCTGCACATAGAAAATGATCGGTATGTGTTATCTATACATACACAAAGCTGTCCCAAGGACATAAAAACAATTGTATAAACTCAATTTTTGGTCAGAAAATAGCCCATTTGGGGAGGGTAACCAAAGGAAAAATGGCCCAAATCATACAACCTGCAGATAGCCCAATATATATAGTGAGAGAGAGAACTGCAGGTAGATTGTATGATTTGGGCCATTTTTCCTCTGGTTACCATCCCCAAATGGGATATTTCATGCCAAAAAAGTGAGTTTATACAGTTGCTTTTATGTCCTTGGGACAATTTTCTACATTAAAATGTGGATAGGTGACCCAGTTATCCTTTCTATATTTGATTGGAGAGCGGTCCTTCCAAGTGTATGTACAACACCTATAAATGACATTTGTGATGAAGGATATATGGACATGAAATGGAGATGATCAGGGACCCCATAGTATATTAACTAGCAAAAGGTATTATAAGGCACTTAATAAACTTACTATTAAAGTATGGCAAGTATTTCTTGAAATATATTAATGAGTAACTGTTAAGCTACCTCGGTAGTAGAAGTAAAATAAACATCCATCAGATTCAAATTAATTCTTTAAAAGAAGATTCTGAACAATGATGATAATAACAAACATTTGCAGTCAATAATTTACCACCAATCTGTATTCATTATAGTTATTTGTTCTTTCCATCCTAGAATCCTGTATTAACTATTTGACATCTGCAAAAGTCCTCCTGTACTTTGGACATGCCCTGTCCACTTGGGTAAGTGAAATAAAACTACAGGAATTTGAGGTTAATTCATATGTATTATAATTACTTGGTTACATTATATTTATATTATTTAGCAAAAATACATCTGCTAAATTATGCTCTGGGATAAATTGTGAAATCACTCCTTTGGGATGCCACAGTCGGTAATATTACAATTAGGACTAGATTTTGGACTTTCTAATTCATGGATAATACCCATGATTTGCTGATTTTAAAGAATCTCATATAGTTGTTGAATGGTAGGTCCAGATGCAGCCATACTTAAGGGTAGATCTTTTGAAATTGGACCTTGATAATTATGAATTTGTTCCCTTGGTTTCAATATATCTACTTAAAAGGTCACTGGCTGGTCTCAACTTACTGAAGACAAAGTAAAATGAACTTTGCATCTGATTTGAGGCACTTTTATTCTGTTTGACAGGTATCCATTTTTCAAGCAATACTGGCAGCTAATGGATTTATCTCTCTTTTAGTAACTTTTGATATTTTGATATGCAAGGTTCAAATAGAAACTACTTGTAGAAATTAATTGTTCAAGAACTTGGATTTGCATCACAATTTTGAGGAAGCAGAACTTTTTTAAAAAGCAGATAGAGTACGTTGCATTTCTGAGCAACAGTTTAAAACAATAGTTGGTAATTTTTATGTTAGCTACTGATTTTTTAGAGTTATGTTGATTGTTATGAATTGTGACCTATTAATAAACATTAAAACTTATAATCTTCAGAATTTTAGAAGAGTGTTTGTTCTACGGTAGATTGAAATATTTATTGCATCTTTTCCTGCATTGTTCTATATTTGAATAAACAGTTGTTTATTTTTCACTGTAGTAGTAAGAGTTCACATGAAAAATATCTGATTGGCAACAATGTTGGTCAAGAAAAATTTTTTTTACTCAATCTACTTTTATCCTGCTTTTTCTACTTAAAGATACTCAAGTAAATTAGAAACAACATTCAAAATACATTCTATAATTAAATTATGGTTAAAAGTATGTATGAGAGAGAGATAGAAATAGTATTAGGTTGATGTACCTGACACCTACATTTTGATTTAAATCTGGCTTGGTTGTAAAGTGACTAACTATTGTAAGAACTTAATATAAAAGCATAGTATATACTCTACTATGACTGTTCAGCTCCCTGTCATGAATAGTAGCTCTTAATTTAAGATCATGGCCATCTTCATTAAAATGTCCAAGAGATGTCTATCATTTTATCATCATAAAAATGTGGTTGATATGATAATCAGTTTTTCATATTAAAATTAACAATAACTATAACAATAGCATGTTGATTGTCTCTTGATTTAATGAATTATATGACTAGTACAATGATCCAATAAGGAATTAAGCATTATTTATTTCCTTGGCTTGCCTTTGGGAATTTAGAATTATAATTTTAAATGACTATGTAGTTTGCATGATGCCAGAATATATTTATAAAAATTTCTGTGTAATTGCTTACACTCATTTATGATAATATTGTCTGCCTAAGTCATTTTTTCTTTAAGTAGAAAGCAAATATGATAATATTCTCTGGCCATTTTTTCTTTCTTAAATAGAAGGAAACAGGCAAATAAATACTTTGGTAAAATAGCTATCCCTTTATAACCAGTAGTAAAATTAAGAAGTTTTGAAATACTGCAACTTCAGTAAATACCAATATTGCTGATTTAGCTATTAACTTATTTATTAATTAGGAAGTAAGAAACTCTTGCTAGAACTTCAAAAATAGCATGCTTACATCTTGAGTTAAAAACTGGCTTCAACTTCAAGGCAATGTCAACAGTAATTACATTTTCAGAGCTCAATGAATCTGCTTCCTTATTAGACCAGTGGTAACTTCATTAAATTGTGGTCAGTTCATACCTTATGCAAAAGCAAACCCAGAAGGGATGAGTACATTCCAAAGAGTTGATATTAACCATGATTTCTTAACAAACTTACCCCATCAACCTATATACAATATTTTTATATTTGCAGTGTAAACTGAAATACCTGTAGGATTGCACATAAAATAGATTGGGCCAATTTCATATACTTTATAACACTTGGGTGGATTCCCAATGAGGCATTTATAGTGCAAACACATCTTGCCTTATTCTCAGAAGTTTATGAGAGGCCAAGTGAAGAGTATTTCTAACCTTGTGTTTCCTCAATGCTAGTTTTTCTCTTCCTGTTTAAAAAAAATCTGTTTAAAAAATGAAATAGTCGCACAAATACTTTGGATTAATAATGCCCAGAATTCATTGTCATTTCTTTGTTTTATGATTACTTGCATTCAGGCATTTCAATATGAGCAACTTTGGTATCATTAGTTACTGGATTTTCTGGTCACTAAAAAAAAGAAGACAAATATGTGCAAAGCATGGAGATATACATGCACACATATGGACAGGCTGTATAAAATATGAACATTGCAAAATAAATGGCCATTAGAGATATCAGTTGACCAGTCTTGTTTGGCCATTGCCAGTTCATTCAGTGATTTTACTAGGTAGTGAGTTAATGGGAGTCAGAATCAATAATTCCTGTATGTTTCATGGATAGAACAATGGAATGCTAATTGACTGTAGCAGAGCTAATTATTATTTAGGACTTGTAAGAAAACACAAACACAAAATTGACAGAACAACTGACACCGCCCCAAGTTGTTCTGTGGGTGAGATGGTCAATCTTAAAGTTCAAGAAATAAATAAATAAACATTCTTGCCAGCCTAGACATTACGAGATGGTGTATTTTATCAGTGAGGGGGGATACAGGTCTGAAGAGAGTCTTTTCCAGGATTTTGAGTTCCAGGTATTTTGAGATTCACAATTTCCAGTGGACATGCAATCCAATGATATTATTGTTACAGTTGTAGGTTTGTTTGATGGTTATTTGTTGTTTGTTTTCAGTGCAGAGAAAGTTTACAATACAGTAAATATAAAAACAGTAAATATAAATAACAAAAATTGTCAGATGTAAGTAGATTGTGAAAAAATTAATTGAAAACAAGGTGTTCCCTAGCAAAGTACCACTACTAAAAAGCATACCTCCAGCCCCCACCCCCTCCATTCAATTTGTATGTATAGCACTGATAATACTAGCAATGGCTTCCCCGTGTAGATGCTGATATTAATTAGTGATTTAGATATATATATACATATGTACGGCAAGATAAAAAAATCTAACATTATATAAATAAAAGTATAAATCTTTAGATTGCAATATAATCCCACCCCCTATATTATAGTGGCAGAATAGGCAGAATATTTTATGAAGTCTTCTCTTTTTGGTTCCTATTTATAATTAAATACTGGTCATCTGAGTCAGCTTCACATGGCCTGCCAACATCCACAGTCAAGCAGGAAATCAAGGCTAGATTCTAGAATTCACTAACCATGCTCCTCCTTCAGTTTTACTTCAGGTCATTTGTGCTTTTCAAGTGGCCAAGGAGTGAATACCTCATGAGAAGATATTTGCTTTTGTCCTTCACCTCTTCTTCTAGATCTTGAAAAAAAAAAAGGGTCATGGTGACGTCATCAAGAAAGGGAGTCCAGCAAGAATCTCTTATGCAAGCATACCTCTTAGCCCTTCAATGTGACATATTGTTGTAGTACCTAGTTTATGTACATCCTGAGTTGCTGTATGTCTCATATGTATAATAGACTTCTCAGAACTTGGGAAAGAGAATGGTAGTTTCTAAAATACTACAAAGAATAGAACACCTGGACATTCCACCTGTATCAGTGAATTAAACAGCAACTTCCTTACCGCTTCAGGGAGCAGCCTGCTAAAGGGATCAAAGAATCCCCATCAAAAATAATAACTATTAATAAGTGGGGTGCTAAGGTCCATGTATCCTGTTCTCAAGATTCTGTAACCTATCCCTGTTTTCCTTTTAATGAATCTAATTACTAAGACCGTTTGAGATCTTAGTTGGATAAGAGTGGCTGCTAGAGACCTGAAAATGTAATATATACGTATTTAGGTGGTATAGCAGTATGTTTTGCTATTTTATTGATGTTTATTTTGAACGTTGTGTATCACCTTGCAATTGCCCACGTTTTCTGATTATTTACAGATTTAAAAAGTGATGAATAATTAAATGTATTATATTCATTCTAGGGAGATCGTATGTGGCATTTTGCAGTGTCTGTCTTCCTGGTTGAATTGTATGGAAACAGCTTGCTCCTAACTGCTGTTTATGGATTGGTTGTAGCAGGATCAGTTCTTCTTCTGGGTGCCATTATTGGAGACTGGGTAGACAAGAATTCAAGGCTCAAAGGTTAGTAGTGGCACACTTAACGTTTGAAGAATACAGTATTTGCATATAATAAGGGAAATCTAAATAACAAAAAAGCATGGAATTTTCTGAAATAATTGTGTCAGTGACAAGCTTTTAATTACATCATGCCTAATTTAAAGTGTGCCCAATTGGCTAGTTGCACCCAATTAAGCTTGAAAAACTATACCAGACTTATTGACCATCCTAAAATAGAATGCTCAGCTGCATAGTCCAAGACTTCCATAAGGTTTCAAAGATAGTTGATTTTGGAAGGCTCTGAAAAGTCTACAGAAAAGCCATTTACATGGAAGATCACATGAAAGCCATAGGCTAGACCAGGGGTGTCCAACCTTGGCTGAGGAATTCTGGGAGTTGAAGTCCACAAGTCTTAAAGTTGCCAAGGTTGGACACCCCTGGGCTAGACTGATAGATTAATTAAACAACAACAAAAGATGATAAACCATTTTTTGTACTGCTGCCAAGAAAAATTAATGGTCATCTTCATCAAGCACCAGATATCAAGCTTGATTTAAAAGAGATTTTTTTCTCTAATGCAAAATTACAGGTTTATATCCCAACTTCAAAAAAATAACCACTAGTTCTATCAACATTGATGTAAAGGATTGCACAGTAAGTGTCTCATTCAGAATGGCTATGCAAATAACAAATGGGCTGCCCAGTCATATCTGTGTTTACTTATTCTTTAAGAATTACAGGCTTCACTGGGACTTACCTCATAATGAGGCATGACTCTGTAGGATCTGCAACTACTTTAGAATAGTAATTTGAACTGTTTATTAAAAATGCACAGCTTCTGTAATTACATTATGTACTCTTCAGAATTAATATGTTTTAAGTTATTAATACCACTTAAATCTTGTCTTACTTGACTAAATACTTCACAAATAATTATCTAGTTTAAGCAAAGCTAATTTTGAATAATTAATGCCCATTAGGTGTAAATAACAACTACTCAAGCTGGGTGTTTCCTCCTTGGTAGTAGTGTTAGCAATTTGAAAATGATGCTTTCACACCAGGAAGTGACTGTCCGTTGTCTAGTGCTGTTTAAGCACTAATGCAAAGATGAATGTCTCACTCTCTTTTACTTGTTAAGTCCATTTGTAGGGCTTTGGCCTAAAAGTGTTGCCTTGAAAACAGGTGTAAACGTCTTGATGTATTAATAGACTGAAATATTTCCTATTTTAAATATTGACATTGTGCCCCCTTTCCCATTCTTTTTTCCTAAACAGTAGCCCAGACGTCCTTAATTGTGCAGAATGCATCGGTCATTTTGTGTGGCATCCTTCTGATGATCGTCTTCCTGTTTAAAACACAGCTTTTAAATTTGTATCAAGGATGGCTTCTTGTAAGTGCACAGAAGTAAAAACATTTATAAGGGCATACAGAGTACTTTTTTATTAGCTGTTCTCTGAAAAATATATTCATGTTTTGCAGTCAGCTTCAAGCTTTAAGTAGATGTCATGGTTGTCCCAAAGGGGCTTTTTCAAGAAGCAACTGGACTTTCTGTTTTTTCTTTGAAGATATTTCGCTTCTCATCCAGAACTGAAGAAGCTTCTTGGATGAGAAGTGAAATGTCTTCAAAGAAAAACCAGAAGGTCCAGTTGCCCCTTGAAAAGGCAACTTTGGGGCAAGCTTTAGGTTGGTTTTTAATCAGCTTTAAGCTTTACTGTGTGTTAATTGTTAACGCTTATATAGTCAACTCCATTTACACCACTAAAGCCAGATCAGTTTGCCTTCACAATTTAATGTTAGTACAACGGGAGTACCAATAGCAAAGAACTACTGATTGCAAATGTAGATGTACTGATTCTTAAAAATAGTGAGAGATCAGAACTTCAAAAAATTAAGACAGCTACAATGTTTTATATTATGGTATCTAGTGGTCATTTTTGCAGCTAGCCTGGTATCCTGAAGCAGAGAAATTATATCAAGCTATGCTATGGCTTATTGTAACTGTTGTTTGTTGACTAAGCCACATTGGCTCATTTTACATATTACACTAAGCTATATACCATGGTTTATAAATCACAGTTAGCTGTACCTGCAAAATATATTTGCTAGATTCACTATAGAATAATTACAATCTGGTTGAATCCAGAGAATTGCCCATGAAAAGAAGGAGCAGGTTTTGGATTTCCTGTCTTCCTTTTCCCAGCCAGCCCCCAGAAAGCTTCACAGATCCTATCTTATAATTACAGGATGATAGGAATAGAAAGCATGTGGCCAAATATCTTGTGATGTAAAATTCATGCAAAATGCAGCAGTTCAGGGGGGGGAGCTGATTTAATGAGTGAGAGGGAGGCCTGTACTTTCTTACCTTTTCCATAACAAGTTGTTTCTATTTCCTCAGACCTTATGCTATATTCTAGTCATCTCAATAGCAAACATTGCAAATTTGGCCAGTACAGCCACAGCAATCACCATACAGAGAGACTGGGTTGTCGTTGTTGCTGGTGACAATAGAAGCAAATTAGCAGGTAAGGTATATTTGTTTACCTTATTTTATTCTGTGTGACTGGCTTAAAAGAACAATTGAATTCCACACATTTTGCCAGATTGCAACAAGAGAACATAACTTTAGATTTCTTTTCCAATTTATTTATTTTTTTGGATAAAGCAACAGATCAGAGAATTATATAATTTGTATGAACAAGTAGTCATAGTTTCATCAAGATTTAGCAGACAAATTGTAATATTCCTTAAAATACTACTTTATCACTTTTTTTGCAAAACATTGTTTCCATTGTTTATTAGTCAACCAATTTATATAGATACCTACTCAACATGCAATTCAGGATGGCATACACAGCTAAAAACAGCAAACCATCATCATCATCATCCAAAGAATAAAATATAAATTGCATTGTGCCAGTCACAGCTCCAACAATTCAAAATAATCAAGATAGCCTCACAATCTCTCCTTACTTTGTGTCCGGTGGAGAAACCCAATCACCAGAGCCTTTCAGAAGTGGGGCAGACTTGAGGCCATAGGGATTTTGGAAGGAATGCTGTTCCATGGGGCAGGCATAGGGACAAAAAGGCACATCTGGTCGCACCAGATGACCATGCTTACGTGACGGAACTTGGAGCATACCAACTCAGTCAGCTGACATCAGACAGGCAGAGGTATTTGGAGGCAGGCAATTCTGCAAATAACTAGGCCCATCCTACTTCTATCAAATAAGATACGTTCTTTCCACTTCTGTGAAAAGAAGGGTAGTAGCCTGTGGTGCAAACTGATAACAGCAGCCTTAAGTTCTACTCCTAAGCATTCTGAGTTGTGGTAACTGAATAAGGAGCGAAATAGAAATAATATGCTTCAAACTGCACAGATTTTTATATTTGAAACTAAAAGACCAAATGACCCTCAGATATATAATGATTTGCAACTAATTGTTATATAGCATGATGCCAAATTCTTTGTGCTCTACATTTTTATTTGATTGCAAAAATCATTCATAAGAATATATTTATTTATGTCCACATGTGGTATCCAGCTATTCCATTTTTAAAAAATGGAACAATGCAAATATGGACATGCACAGGGAGACTAAATGATTAAAAGGGTATGGGATGAGAAGGGAACAGACAATTAAAATTGTGTCCTGTTTTGTATTTAAAACTAAGTTGCATGTTTCATAGAGTCCTACAATATTTGCTGCAGGAAGGTACCATTTTACATCATAGGTAGTGAAATGTTGCGTGCTATTAAAAAATATTTCCAATTTACATACATAAACAGGAATGGTTAGAATGGAAGTAACCAGTAAACTACTGAGACTAGAGGAAATTGTGCTTTTTTTCTTCTACAGTAGTCTGTTTTTTTTCTATTTGTGGTCATCCCAAAATGTTGAATAATGGGAATGTTGAATGATGGATAAAAGGGTATGCTTTTTATGCAATACTAGTTAAATGCTAGAATTTGATGAAACACAAGGCGATAATAATATATAAAAGATTAATTATCTGGTTCAGGTTTAGTGTAAGTAAGAAGACTTCAAGATAGGCATAATATCTTTGCATCCAGTGATACTTGTTTAGAATAAGCGTTACTCTTTTGTGAATGAATGCACACAATTGCTTTTTTATATATGATACTTATTTAACACATTTTATATAGCTCTCTAGGAAGGTATAGAATAGAACAGAATAGAATAGAATTCTTTATTGGCCAACTGTGATTGTCTTGGTGCATATGCTCTCAGTGTACATAAAAGGAAAGATATAGTTTGCTTTTTTTATAAAGTTTATATTTTATAAAGTTTATGAAAATATAAATATTGTGTTCATACTAAGCCAAATATGTATGCAACCAGGTTTAAAAAGTTTAGGTAAGTGTACAATTAGACAAAAACACAGGGAAGAATCAAAATAATAAATGCTAGGATTTAAGAAAAGATTAAAATTATAAGACAAAGCCTAAAAAATAGTATTCTTTTTTCTTCAGTAATTGTTTTATTGCAGTAGAACATGTGCATAATACATTATGAAATACATATATTAGCTGGACATAGTGGTATAAGCTAGAAGTTGTTCATACATAATAGCTCAGATAATTTGAAACTTTAAAGATAAGAAGAAAAAAGTTTATTTCAGTGTTAAATATAACTTCTAAAATGTTGATAAATATAAGATCGTTTAAGTTGTACAGCTAAAAATGAGTGTAGCATTGATAAACAATTCCAAAATAAATGCTAGTATAATATATAAAAAGTTTCTGTCTTAATGCTAAATACTCAGATCTCTATTGTATTATTGTTGAGATGATTTATAAATGTTAACAAAGCTAAAAAACAGAATAAAAAGAAAAAGAAGGTGCTTGGCAAAGTAAGCAGTTCTTCAGACAGCCTCATAAAAACCACCATGACTCAGCAGCCAAAAAGTAACTTCTGAGACTGCCTTTCATCATGTAGGTGTGGCACAGAAAAGAGAGTTATTTTTGTGACATTGTCAAGTACTAACTTTTGCATTGGTTTATAGATATGAATGCTACCATACGAAGGATTGATCAGCTGACCAACATCTTGGCTCCTATGGCCGTGGGACAAATAATGACCTTTGGATCACCAGTGATAGGGTGTGGGTTCATTTCTGGCTGGAACTTGATCTCCATGTGTATAGAATACACACTGCTCTTCAAAGTGTACAAGAAGACGCCTGCTTTGGCTCACAAGTCTGGTTCAAAGGGTGAAGAGTCAGAACTGAAGCAGCTCAATATACAGAAAGGTAACAGGATTGCAGAAGTTATCTTTAATCAAACAACGAGAGCATACTCTTCTGCATACTTCCTTGTCGTTTTAAGTTCAACGGAGTTCTGTTTCCGTATAATTCTTTATATAGTACAGTTTTAAAAATCCATGCCAAGATTTGGAAAAACCAGTCAGGCAATGGCACTCCCGCTGCTCAAACACTAAGGGTTCATTTGACATACCCAAAGTCAGAAGAGCAGAAATAAGGAAAGAGAAACATTTGGTGCTTTCCCACATTCTTCTTCTTCTTTCTAATGGAGTGAGGGAAGGGAGGAATTTTTCCTGCTATGCAATGGGAACCAGTTTTTACCTGTCAGTCAATTGTTTACAACATGTTCTGACTGAGGACAGAGCTCTAAAGTTCCTTGCTAACAGCATGTCTGTTGTTAATGGTGCAAATCTGTTTGCTTGAATGGACAATCCTTACCTGCTCTTTCTGTCTGCAGATGGTGAATCGAAGAGTACCGAAGGAGTCCAGTTAATTCTCAAGAAAGAGACTGCTGTTTTTGAGCCTGAACAGCAAAATACTAGCTGTCTTTCTCGCATGGCCGAGCCCTTCAGTACATTCCGTGACGGATGGGTTTCCTACTATAACCAGTCAGTGTTCCTTGCAGGTCTGGCCTTGGCATTCCTTTACATGACAGTCCTTGGCTTTGACTGTATCACTACTGGCTATGCATACACTCAGGGATTGAGTGGCTCCACTTTAAGCTTATTAATGGGGGCCTCTGCCTTAACTGGAATCCTGGGAACAGTAGCCTTCACTTGGCTACGTAACAAATGTGGGTTAATCCGCACAGGCATCATTTCTGGAATAGCCCAGCTGTCTTCTCTTGTTTTGTGCGTGATCTCAGTGTTCACACCAGGAAGTCCTTTGGATCTCACTGTTTCCCCATTCGCTGACATCAGTGCTAGGTTGTTTGAAAGCAGTCCGTTAGCCACCGTGGCGCCTGATGGTGGTTTCCTTGAAATGGCTGTTACCACTGAAATGCCTGCTTTGGTCAATGCAACATCATCTGATCCAGGATTAGCTCCCAGCCCAGAGTCTCTCATCTCGGTTAGCCTTTTGTTCGCAGGAGTCATTGTAGCAAGAGTTGGTACGTACATTCATGTATAAAATATTCATGATACTTCGTGGAATACAGATCTATACTTCTGTAGTAGTCGTGGAACCTTTCATAAATCACATATTAAGTCTAGATTTTCAAGATGGTCTCCAGATATAGTTGGATTACAATTTATGATGTATTGGATTACAACTTCTAGAATGTCTAGGCAGCTGAGGATTCCAAGACTTGCTTCCCTCCCATCCCCACTACAATTAAATAAAGGTTTATTGATAAAAAAAGCTTTTAACACCATGTTTCTCTGCATAGCCATTCAGAAGCAAGTCTGGCCACATATAGTGGAAAAAATTAAGCATGGGAACGTATCCTAAATTGTCTCATTCTCATAAACAAATCCAAGATAAGTAAAATGGACTAATAATTATAAATCCCAGTGGTGCTGCAGAATTAGCACCATAATAGTTGCTAGGTTTATACAAGTGTAGCCTGCATTACAGAAAGAAGAACACCGGAAGTGGTTGTCTTATTTCCATATCCGAAATGTTTTCCATCATAATTGTTCTGACTGGAAGACCGGAGCAAAATGTTTCCATTGTATATATTTGCAAAATGGGGTGACAAGGCTTTTAATTGAAAAAAACATAGGATTTGTTTCAGGTATAGAGATCTGTGCTTTTTTAACAAGTGTTCTTCTGTGTCTCCTGCCCTGCTTCAGCTAGAATTAAATTTATTTTTCCTTTTGTTTGCTTTGTATAGGCCTTTGGTCTTTTGACCTGACAGTCACACAATTGATCCAGGAAAATGTGATAGAGTCCGAAAGAGGTGTCATAAATGGTGTCCAAAACTCCATGAATTACCTTCTGGATCTGCTGCATTTCATCATGGTTATTTTGGCTCCTAACCCTGAAGCTTTTGGACTGCTAGTAATCATTTCCGTTTCCTTCGTTGCAATGGGTCATATCATGTACTTCCGTTTTGCCCATAAAAGCTTGGGGAGGAATGTCATTCTTTGCTGTACCCCTGAGCTAAAGTCAGTTGCCAATGAGCCTCCAAATTCTGATGAATCCAATGCATAGAGGATTTTGCCTCCTCCAGATGTATTTTTTCCAGTCCATGTTGACTGACATGCTTTATTATGGGTCAGAAGCAGTTGGCACCTATTATGGGTCAGAAGCAGTTGGCACTAAAATGGTATTCCTTTCCAGCACCCCTGCCTTGTTTTCCTTTGCCTTTGGGCAGGTAACCAAGTATGGATTTTTACCAGGTGCAAGAGATACATTTATTTATTTAAGCGGATATCTTCTCAAGAGTTAATGTTTAATTTTTTTTTAAAGGCAGTTGACTAGAAGGACATAATTTTGATTCTTTTCAAATACACAATTACTATTGGTTGGAGTGGGGTGGAGATTAATAAATTAAACAGATTATGCTCTTATATGTAATATGATTAGTGGGTGTTATTGCTTCATACAGCATATAGATGTGCAGTTTTTTTTCTTTCTTAAAGAAATACTAGATGGGAGGAAAACTATATAAATCAATGACAGCAAAGTTTAGGGTTAGGGTTCTCGAATGTGCCTTTAAACAAACAAACTAGACCTTTTCTGTGAAGTTACTTCTAGTTCAGTTTTGGAGAAACATCTGGGTTACTTTAGTATATTATCTGAGTAAGAAATAATGTAAAATAGTATAGAATATGTATGTAGCACTTCATAGGAGGCAAGATTAACCTAGCATAGACCAAAGCTATTTATATAATACAGTATAGCATTATAAAACATAAGGGGGAAGTATTTTTGGTTTTATAAATTTTCAATAACATGCTTACTAAGCCTTGGTTTCATAGTATTAAAGGCCAAACATATGAAGTGAGAGAACTAGGTTGTGTGTATGTGCGTTAATGGGAGAGTGTAAGAGAAAAGAAAGATACAATCTCTTTTTTTAAAAATCATTTAAATTATTTAAAACACCTAAGCTGCAAATTGCAACCATTTATTTTACAATAGTCCCCTTAATATCTAGAAGAAATCAAGAATATGCCACCAGCAACTTCTTTATATAAAGCCCATTTTAAATGACTACAAATTGACAAAAAAGTCATTTGTTTCCTAGATGAACAATCTGAGACCTTATGTATGAATGTTGTGTGCATGCCTATCTTACGTATGTCAGTAATTTGGAGAAACAAGCCATGTAACTTGTGAACACATGATTAATAGTTTAATCATGTTTAAAGTAAAAGCATGTCCCTCATCACAGATCTATATTTGCAAAAGCAACTTTCATCCAAAAGGAAGTATAGCAGTATTTGTATTTGTACTATCAAACAGCTTCTGGGCAGCACCGATATTGACAATTCCAAATGTATGCTGGAGCAAGATTTTGGTGACGACTGGAAGTGGTGCATACCAGTGGTGGTATGCTACCGGTTCGGCCTGGTTGTGCCGAGCCGGTAGCGGCGATGAGCAGCGGAGACCAAATCTGTTCTCTCCACCACTCTGCTGTTGGGCGCACCCACCTGCCCGGGCTCCCATACTCACCTTTATCTTCTGTTTGTGAAGTGCACCTGCTTTGCGTGGCACAGAAGAGTGCCACATGGCAGCTGCTGAAGCGATCGGGAGAGTGCAGGCTTGAAGGAGGTGAGTCAAAACGCCTCTGTGCCTGCGCAAAGTGCGTATTTGGTGCACGCATGCACACAAAATGTGAGCATGCCTGCAAAACACGCCCACCAAGCCACGCCCACTGAACCAGTAGTAAGAGTTTTTGAATCCCATCGCTGGTGCATACCTTCTGTTCAGTGGCAGGATTGGTGTGGTTCTACTGTGCTAATCAGCCAGCATGGTTTGCACTTAGAAGAAAGGTCAGCGTGCAGGGTCCTGCTTCACTTTACACTGGTGAATTAGGGTACATCTGTATAGTTTTAAATGTTTTACAGAGCTGATAACCCTTGTGCACTTTTTTTTTTTTAACTTTTATACCCTCGCTTACTAAAAAAAAAAAAAAAATCTTTTTTAAATAAGTTGCAATTGGTTTGGGATGTGTGTATATATGTGTGTGTGTGTTTTTAAAAAACTTGTTAAGGTAAATGCAAACATTGATAATCAGTAGTGACCGACAATGCCATCTATGTATGAATTGCTTTTGGAGACATTTTATGGTATGCAGAAATGAGCACAATGCTTTTTACAGTAAGTTTCATGCACTTTTGTGGAAATTGCAGTAACAATGCTACAAGCACTTTGCTTTAAAATAGAGTTGAATCCTCTTACTCTACTTCTGGAGTTTTTCTAAATGTAATTTTCAACTTCTGTTTGTTAAATATTTGTAAAATATTTGTATGCATAAATATAAACTATTTTTCACATTTTTTGCCTTTTCTTCATTTGGGTAATATGTTTTGCACACAATACATTTAATCCCATATCTGAAATTAAGTGGCAATTCACAAAACCTGTGTTTAGAATTTTCTCTAGAACTCTGAAACTGAAACTGAATTTTATACACAAATAAAATGGAGATATTGCTTCCAGCATAATGAATTGTACATCTCAGATTGATCTGAGAGAATTATAGTAGCAGTTTAAAAGCAAAACAAACAAAAATCCCATTTAATGAATGTTATCATTTTTGCATATATTTAATATAGTGTCAACTCAATACTGTTTTCAATGCCATAACAAATTATGTTTAGTCCATTTTTAAACTTCCTGGATAAATTACTCAAGAGCATAAACTTTCTTCATAGTAGCTCCATCAATGAATTAAAGCATACTTGGATTTGACATTGAATGGCCAATATTTTGTCTTATTAAGAGGGATTGTAATATCTTAGCATTTCTATGATGATGATGAAGAAGAAGATGAGTGGAAAAGAAACATAATCTGAGAACATATGATTTAGGAGACATATCTATTTTTATAGCATGTCTACTAAAATTGGCCAACAAAGTATATTTTAAGGAAAAGAATAAGAAAACAACACTTTTATTTGTAGAATTTATATTCCACCTTTTCATTTTATACTAGTGGTCTCTGACCTCTGAAAATAAAATTTGTCCAGCAGAAGAGACAACATGAGTTTGACTGGCCTTGGCAAGGAAGCAATAATTTGTATTAACACATGATCTTTCTCACTTCTTTTGTAACTTGCAATCAAATGACAATAGTTAGCATCATGATGCCATGATGCTTGGACAACTTTGTCTCTCCCTTCTGCAAAATTGTGTCTGAACATTTGTGAAATTAACATCTCTCAAGAGCTTACCTGAAACACCAAAATCTTGTGTTAGACCTCCTGAATCTTTGATATCAACACCCAAGTTACAAATTGCAGGTTTTCCTACCTGCTAGGTCATTGTGCAAAATTGTGTCATGGGGCCCTGAAAAAATGTTAACTGATTATTAAGCAGATTCAAAGCTCAACATTAGTGTGTGAATGAGGAGGTACAAATGAATGTATTCTGCTTTCCTTTTTAGGTTAAAAAAGTTTTAAATCAAGCTTGACTTCTGACGTGGATACATTTGGCAATTTTTGATTTTCCACTGTCTTCAAGAGAACCAGTGGCAATGAAATGCCTTTTCTACCTTCATCAGATTAAGAACCTAGGATTTGAAGTCATATTGGGGGTGGGGTGTTATTGCAGACAATTACCCCATGTATGAGGGTTATGAATATGGGAGAAAGCAAATGCATTTCTTAATGTATCCTCACCTGTAGAGCTCACATGCCTCTAAAGATACCCAAACAGGGCTTTTAAAAAAGGACTTCTCTTGTGAGTGTGTGAGTAAGAACAAAAAAACGGTGTGTTTACTGAAAGACCACCAAAGGAGGACAAAGTGCACGCTGTATGATAATGCTTATCCGAATATTTCAACCTGTTCTAGCATAAGTCAATATTTCTTTCTAGTTAATGTTTTCTATGCTGAATTTTGTAAGGAGAAAGGTACACATAACAAAGGGCATAGAGGAGTCCACCTCCAAATATCTCTAATGAAGTACATAATCATATCTCAGAGACATGACCTCACTTTTAAATGAGAAGAAGTCAAAGGTCTTAGCTGTAATGACAGTGAAGTCTAGGAAACTTGTGCGGTTCATTTCCTGCTTCACCTCCTAAAATTGAATAGTGTGTGGATCCTACATTTTGGTTTTTTTTTTTGTCAGAATTGATGTTTGCAATGTGGGGCTGAGAAATTTGGACACCTTAGATGTGGTCTTTTATAATCCCGAATCGCTTAACTAGCACATTTTTCAAAGGAAATGAGGATTTAGCTCTAAGATACCAAGAGATACCTACATCAATCCCTAAATAACTAAGCAAATTTAGTTAAACTGATAAGATACAGAAAAAAAATCCACTATGTAATGATAAAACTGGCAATCAGTCTTGATGCATTTATTTATGGATATGTTAAATGGAATTTGTTGCAACACACTTTGACCACATATCTATACAACACAGGTGTCAAACTCACAGCATCACGTTGCCATCACGTGACATTTCATGGCGTTTTTCCCATTCCGGGAGCTAGGGTGGGTATGGCCTACACGTGACACATCCAGCCCATGGGCTACCAGTTTGACACCCCTACTATACAGTATACCACTAGAAATAAGATGCTCTTCTTCTGGCCACTAAACATATTATATTTTATTTTATTAAGGGAGAGAAGATTAAAAAAAATTCCTTCGAAACCTTCCGTTGCTATGGTTTGAAAAATTATAGCATTCAGCTTTGGAATGAACTACCATCTTAACTTGCTGTTACTAGCAGATTTTGGGGTAGCAAATCTGGAAAGACAAGAAATGAAAAGGGTTTCTTTCCCACCAACTTTTTTCTTTTATGATACAGGCAAAGGTGAGTGGGAATGAACCTCATAGCTTCATTGCAACCCTAGCAGGTCCATACCAAAACAATGGAGTGATTCCTGAGAAACCTACAAGCCTATGGCAAAATGGCTTGGAGGGAAAGTCTTTCCCATGCTCATTGTCCTATATACTCTCCCAGTGATGCTATATAAAGCATACTGGAGACAAATCTTGATCATTTCAGCCATTTTATTATTTTTCTCTTGATTTTGATACCCTGTCTATCAATATTGCTTTTCTCTCCTGCTGCTTTTTGAGTATATTAACGTTTTGCTCACCGAACAAAATTTTAGGTTTATTTTATTTATTTCATTTATTATACCAACTTATATGGCTGCCCAATTCACTCACAGACTTACTCCAGACTTACAAAAATCCACAACATAAAAACTTGTAAAAAACCCACTCCTCTCCCCGTAGCATAGCAACCACTTGATCGGTGCCATTCATAGTCTCCAAGCCCACTGACATTAATGCAGCTTCAAGAAATGTAAAGGAACTGGTTTTTTGCTTAGTGCCATCTTTCTAAGAACATTAGCCATCTGGCATCTCTGCAAAACCATGTTGTTATTTTGAGGTCAAGCAACAGAAACTGGGCTGTGGGCAATGACCCATGCATTCAATGTTTGCTCAGCTGTTGGACTAAAAATGTCAATCGATGTGGGTTTCTAGCACAAAGTGCCCTGCACTCACCTTACCTGAATCAACGCACAAGGCTCAGAGGTAACTATGGGGACACAATTTTGGCAAAAGATACAAACAACAAAAGGAATAACATTTGCATGTCACATGTCTTTCTTTCTTTGATACTTTGACACTGCCATGTTTTCACTTCCCAACCTTTTGAAAAGGAGATTTGAAGCCAACTTACCCTTATCTCAACTGCCACAAGGTCTCAGGACCCTGAGAATAGCCAATAGATATTCCTTTCAGGCACACTGGTCTATAAGGAGAAAACCTTAGAAATGAAAGTAGCTTAATTTTACCAGAATTGGGTCACTAATAAAGGAAAATTAAGTCCTGGCTATTAATTGGATCCAGTATTCAAGATACAGCTTCAAGTCAAAATTGCATCAAAATAATTCAGAATTATGAGGGGGGGTTGCGATTATGCGCCATTCTGCAAAATGTGATATAGCAATGAGAATGGTGCCACGCCAATCATTATAAATTTATCTATTTATTGATACCAATAACATAACTTTC